CTCTCGGAGAAACTTGGAGAGTGTCCCGGGGTGTAACCGGTAAATTCTACTCTATTAAAAGGAACGCGCGTTAAGAGTCCAAGTCGTTTTCACGCACGAAGGGATACACCCGATGCGTCGTCTTGTGAGTGAAGCAAAACAAACGTCAGCACCGTTTGCGTTAACTTGGCGCGACAAGCGCACAGGAGATGTTGAGCGAAATACACAGCGTTACTGTCGCAACGCAGACGAATGCTTGCGTGAATAAGACATTGCTTGGCCTTCTCTCGCAGTTGCCGTGCTTAACACGCGAGAATACCGCGCAGTGATCGCAAAAGTAGAAACTGGTATGATAATGAGCCGCAAACAGCGCGACCTCCTTACACGCTGTACGGGGCGCGGGTATATCGAACGAGGTCGGGCGATTTGCGCGAATTATTAAAACGGCAAAGGCAAACTTAAGCAGAGCGGGGTCAAACGTCGTCTAAGCATCGAGGTTGTCCGTTTGAATTCACCTCATTAGGGCTCTAAGTCGAGCTTGACTAATCCACGTAGTTCTGCAAATCGGGCCGCGCCTTTGGACGAGCCACGCGTAAAATGAAAAGCAACCTTCAGAAATTAAATATTAAATATGACGTGAAAATTCATTTTATTCATAAAATGACAAATTTGTTTCGCTCGCTCGTTTCGTTCGTTCATTTTTATCACAAATCCATATCGATGAGAATTTGCCGTTCTTTGATGTAGTGCAAAAATCATCCGACGGGCCGGAAAATGTATTAAAAATAATGGTAAAAATAACGAAAGATAATACGAAAGATAGTAATTTAATTCTAAATTTTAGCCCCTGCTTTTCACCTGAACTTCTTAACATTCTAAAGGATCAATATGTGCTTGATACACGTGGACGCAGAAGTACTACTTGCAGGTTCTAAAGAGGATTTCCTAGTGAAGTTAGAGAGCCGAATAGAATCAAAAGAGACTTGATATAGGCTTCAGAGTGTCAAAGTGGGATTATCATAGTATCAAGAGGAATATTATCGGGGTCGAAAGAATCCGACTCGAAAATCTTGGTGTTACTTTTGACCTTAATGTTCCACTTAACGCTTACTTTGATATTCCGAGACCAATGTCAACCTCTTTTGATTCTATTCAATCTATTAGCATACTGCCGATAGATCCTCCTTAGAACGCCCAAGTGGCATTTCGTGTGTTTTCTGCTGTTTAGAGGCGTCGAATGGAAAACTTTAGTTCTCATGCGTATTAAACACCCATTGATTCTTCAGAACATACCGATGTTAGGAAGCTCAAATCGAAAGAGCAGGATTAAAATTTCGACTCGGGTGGGATCGAAACGAATGGCACGAACAAATCATCAGCGTTCCAGAGATCGAAACGACGGTACTCGATCGATTTAATCGGAATACACGTATACATAGGCGAAGCAGCAGCGGAGGCACTTCGCGGAGGAATGCCCGGCTGGGCATCGGGGCGCCTATCTAATAATGCGTGTAACCACAGGTAATCCGAGCCACTATCGATGACTAATACCTCGCCTGCCCTCACTCTCCGCTCGCAGCACGACGACGCGATGCGACGCGACGCAACGCGACGCGCGTATCCGCCGCGTATGCACGTATGCGCCGAGCGCACGCATAATGCATATGGACGTTCGGCGACATATACCACGCGAGCCGAAATCGCGGCGCGGCGATAGAACGCCAGAGGCGGCGATATTATCAAATTATATACCTGCACTACGTATACACCGGCGGCCAATAATTCATCCATAATTCAGTTATCTAAATAGGACACCCGGCGCACCACCACACAGCCGACTGCGCGACTTTCGCAGCACGTGTGTGTGTGTGCGTGTGCATGCGTGCATACATGCGTGCGTACGTGCGCGCTCAAAGCACGCCGCGGACGGTCGAGCGCGAGTAGACGCGATCTCTGGCAGCCTGTTAGGGGCGAGTGGCGAAAAATTGCCTCGGGATTGTCCGTGATGCGCTCGTGCGAACGTCGACTCGCGCCGTCCCGAAATTCTCATCCTACTTTCGACCTCAATGTTTCCAATGTTAAGGCTTGTTTTGAAGCTTACCAGCTCTCTCGATCCTATTTAACATGCTGGCTCCGCCAAGAGGTTCTCTCTAGAACTTACAAGTGACATTTTTCTGCCATTTAGAGGCGTTAAGTAGGATTTTAGTTTCCATATGTATTGTGGGGGAATGTTGCTCGTGTACTTTTTTTAGTGTTTATTTTGAAGAGAATATACAAAGTCGCAAAATGGTTTTTCAGAGCATAAATACTTTTCCCAAAGTTTCATTAAAATCGGAATAATATTACGGCTAAGAAATAGAAGAAACTGATTTGGTAATGGCAAAGCAAATTTTCGAGCTTCTCGAAATTTTGTATTAATATTCTCTATCGTAACTGAATGAAATTAAGCGATGTATTATTAGAATGAAATTTCTTGCAAATGTATGCTACACTATTTCTGATAATAAATGTAATTTTCAATCATAAAATAATTGAAATAGAGTATATGAATGAACGTGCTAAAGTTGCCCCATATTTTAAAGCCGGCAGGAGGACTGTGGAGACCTTTCACGGAGATTTCGGAATTACTAATCAAGATACGAATTTTATATGTGGCCTGCTTACCACGCGCTACTGAACCCGATAACAGGGCAAGATGACCATGTCGCTGCATGTTCGTATTTTGATTATTACAAAACAAATTACACGGTTAACAGGGTCGTGGCGGGCATTAATACATAGAAGAAGGTCGCCCGTATCATATTTACAGTCAGTCGCAATTAGTTGTCTGAGAAGTTGTGACTTCGAAAAAATACACAAGCATCTAGCCCTCCCGATCTCCCCTAGATACACCGATCTTTGAGAATAACACAGATGTTAGAAAGCTCAGGTCATGATGTAAATATAAAGGTGTACCATTGCACATGATGACGTCACGCGTAGTGACGTAATGTGTAGTGAATCAATTAGGAATGACCAGGAATGCAATTGCGAAATTCAAATGCCCAAAATTAATTGTATATTACTAATATGTATTTAAACTTAAAATCTGTAATAAATAATATAAGAGAGAGAGTAATACTATATATATATATATATATATATATATATATATATATATATAGAGAGAGAGAGAGAGAGAGAGAGAGAGAGGGAGGGAGGGAGAAAGAGAATAATAATACTAAAAAAAATATATATATATCGTATATGTTTGTAGCACTAGATATTTATAACGTTATTTATATAAAAATATTTACAATATGTTGTTAATATTCTTTTACTTTTATATAATCTCTTCTTATAATATATAACACAACGACTATCAGTAGCCATATTGGATTCTAACATTCTTGGCCATTTCTGATTGGCTATTATTTTGGACGACTGCGCATCCACGGGACTGGTACACCTTTATATTTACACCATGGATTAGGTCTAATGTAGGGCTGAAATTTCGACTCGGGATTATAAACGCTGCTGCATTCTTGTGAACGGAGTCGAGTCGTGTCTCGCTCGCGTGCGGGCCGGGCTTCCCCTCAGGAAAAGTGCCAAATTATTGACGACTCTCGGTTAGTTGGCTACTCGATTACTCGCTTCATCGTAATTTCGACGCGAAATTACTCATGTAATCGCGCGCGTTAGCGATTTTATTTATCGGTCCCGCGTACAACGTCCAGCTCCGTCAGGAGTCACATACATGTGTGACACTCGGCCGCACGCACGGCCTTTGCGTGCGTACATATCGCGTGAATTATCACGTTGCATAATTCGTGTGTATCCGTTATTTATAAAACGTCACGAGTGCGACGCCACGTATAATATTAGCTAAGCCGGAAATCGTTGCGCTGCATGTCACCGCAAATTGGTTTATGGTTTGTTTACACCGCGTTTATGAAAACATGTTGCCGAGGTTTGCCGATAAATTTATCGACGGACCTTCGTCCCCATCTCTCTCTTTTTCTCTCTCTCTCTCTCTCTCTCTCTCTCTCTCTTCTCCCCTCCCTTCCTCTCTCCCCTCTCTTTCTCTTTCAGTCTCTCTCGCCCGACGGTCGCGCATATAAAAAAGGAAGTAATTGAGCTGAAATTAATTAATACTAGATACGCGATCTCTCCATGCGCGTCCGGAATATCTTGTGTGTTTGTTGGAATTAATTCCTCTAGCGAATCGATTTTGCAATGCCGCTGATTGCGGCGAACTCGTAAACGCACGAAATGTCGGCACGCGCGGCCTCTCGTTGGCGTCATCCTTTCCGCGCGAAATTACAATTCGTGTTGGTTGATACGTTCGCGCCTTTTTTTCCTTCCAAAGTGAACCCGCGTAAGCCCGCGCCGTTCCGCATAATTCCTCCTTTTCTCGTTGTTACGCGCAACGAGCTTTAATCACGGAAAATTTTATGAGGCGGTACTTAAAAATAAGGCAGCCCGAAGCCGGATTTAATTTTCGTTCTCCGGTGTGTTTACGGCCCAGTGTTAGAAAATTAACGAGATCGTGGCGCACCTTGCGCTGCACCGTCCTATACAAAATTGAGAAAGTCGAGATAGTCCGTCGGAGGGAGAGAGGGGGAGGGAGTGGAAACAAGAGAGAATTCATGGTTGTTCCCTCGGCAGCGCTCTCGCGTGCTCTGCTGCTAGAGCGTTCGATCGCGTGAATACATAATAAACTGTGTGTATTAATATCACTTTGCGATATTAATACGGGCGAAATAATATCCTCGCAAGATTAACATCGGCGACGAACCGATAAATTCGTTACGCTTACACGAGGTACACACATATACAAAATGTGTGTGTGTATGTGTTTCTCTTTCTCGCAAATAACCCAACGTGGAATATAAAGCAACACGTAACGGCGCGCGTGTCGCGACAAAAATATCTCCGGTTGAAAGGTCGAACTAATTGGATTTCCAAGACGCACGAGGCGACACGACACGACACGACGCACGAAACGCTAAAGTTCACCGGGGCCTTTTTGTTGTTTCCAGGGCAGCTGAAAAGTCCACGGATAACCGAGCACCCGTCCGACATAATCGTCGCGAAAAATGAGCCGGTGACGTTGAACTGCAAGGCGGAGGGCAAGCCCGAGCCGGTGATAGAGTGGTACAAGGACGGCGAGCTTGTGCAGACATCGCACAAGGGTGACACCAAGTCGCGGCGAGTCCTGCTGCCTACGGGATCCCTGTTCTTTCTGCGTGTGATGCACGGCAAGAAGGAGCAGGATGGCGGTGTTTACTGGTGCGTCGCGAGGAATCAGGCAGGATCCGCCCCGAGCAGGAACGCCACTCTCACGGTCGCAGGTGAGTCTTCCTATCTATCTTCTTCAATCTATCTATCTCACTCACTTACTCCCGCCGTCGTCGCCGCCTTCTCCCGGCTCCGACGGCTTCCGGTCGTCCGGTCCCTTTACGTTTCACGTCGCCATGTCTCCGACAAATCTGCGAAATGGACTTTGGAGTCCATCTCTCGATGAAGCGACGACTTCTCGACGACATCGCGAGAGTGAGCGATGTGCGCGAATTGAGCCGAGACGTCGAGCTTGTCGTCGAGGCTGTCGTCGAGGCTCTCCTCTCTCTCGCGTGAAACGTCGCAGTATGGATTAGCTCCCGTCGCGACACGATTAAAAAGCATCGCCCGCGTGGCTCTGTAATTATTTTCACTGCGCGGCTGACTATTAGCGTAATCTTGTTGCACTCTTCGCCGGATAAGATACCCTCGCGCGTTCTTTTCCGCGTAAATCGCGATCAGCACGGAATCGCAACAGAGTACCTAACACCTTTCTTTCTCTTTTTATCTCCTCTCTCTTACACACACACGCACACTCTCTCTTTCTCGCGCGTGCATTTGAGATCTCACTTGACGCGCTAGCAGTCGCGCGAGGCAAAACGTGTGTAATTATGCGATCGCGCTATGTACCCAACGACTCTGCGTGATAATTTTGTCGAGTGCAGCGCGACAGCAACGCAACTGTGCGCGATATTTCAATGTCAATTTATATCCTTTTTTCGCGGGAATCGCCAGTTGATAAATCGCTCGTGCGAACAAATCGCTCAGGCATAAATACGACTTATCTGCAGGAAGAAGCGGACATGCGAGTGCAATTTTGACCCTGTGGTGAAATTCTAAATTTTGTATACGACCTCATAATTTTGCATGATACAGTCGCTTATCTCCGGGCGCTATTCGTTATAATGTTACCCCTCTCTTTCTCCCTTAACCCCTTCTCTTCATCTCTCTTCTCTTTTATGATAATTTTGTATATGTGTATATATATACATATATATATATATATTTTTTTTTTATACGAATTGTACACTCGAATTTATATCTCCCAGATCGCGAGACGAAAATTTGATCTCGTTTCTAATGAAATATTTATAGGCAGAAAACACTTCTCCGCTACCGATTCGGTTACCGAATTCCACGAGGAGCTGTTCGATCCACTCTCGGATATCCTAACTAGGGAGCGAGGGGGGTGGAAG